GGGCATAACCTTGGGCAATGCGGCTCTGCCACTGAGGGCGCTTCTGCAGGGACTGCGGCTGCAGTCTGTGTCCCCTACTCCCGCCAGCTGGGTAACATGTCTTTCCTTGAAAGGAAATTTGGGCGCTACAACTCCATCTCTGGGTTGGGATAACACGTGAAGGCGGAGACCAACCTGCTTCAAAGATTCTTAATCCATTGTATCGACACCCTGAGGTCCAGTATCATCATGGGAGATTCCCAAGGAAAGGTGTCCACAAAGATGTGGGTCAGCTAAGCTTCTCAGTAAGTGGAAACTGCTCTCACAGTGTCCTGGAGGAGAAAGAAATTGTGGGCCATGAAGCTATACCTTTGCAATAATCTGGGCAGAGAGGGGTGTCTGTCAAGGACACCCTGAGTATTCTGCAGGCAACTGAGAGAAAGAGAGGGGTTGAAGGAGATGAGGTGAGAAGCATTCTAAACATGCTGAGCACCAAGGACAGTGTCTGTGAGGATTCCTGACTAAGCAGTGTCCCAGGATCTTAAGGGAGAGCTCATTTGCCAAAATATCCAGCCCTGTGGTGCCTGCATCAGCTCATCACCCATGTGGTAGGGTGTTCTGCAGGAAGTGCAAATGCAGGTTTTTGTTTTATAATCAAGGTCATTCATCCAGCAACTGGAATGAATAAAGTGAAACTTTGGAAGAAATGAGAGAAGAATCTCTGCTGGTGAAATGTCAGGATCATCAAGCTGTCACTTCTGCAGGGAAAATAGCTTTGCTGTTTAAGAGAGACCATAGAAGTAGGAGGGATCCTGACAATATTACTATCATGAGCAGAACTTTGCATTCTTAAAAAAACACAGCTTCTAGTTGCTTGATGTCTCTTCAGATCATTTTGTTTTCATCTCATTGTCAAAACACTCCCATGGGGTGGTATCAAGCCTCACCAACCGACATTTCCCAGGTTGGGGAGTGGCTCTGGAATGATGGTGCCTGATGTTCAGTAATGCCTGTAATTTTCATTGTTGGTCCCAGCCATCTGTCTCTTCACATTTGGTCCCTTTGATTGCTCTTCATCTTTGTTGGTGTGTTACCTTCCCAATAAAGTCTATAACCCTGAAGGTCTGGGGATATGTCTTACAGATCATAGAAGGTTTGAATTGAAAGAAGACCCTTAGTCTAATAAAACACTTAAATATACAGTGAGGAAACTGAAGCCCAGGGAGATGACTGGAGAACCATGCTACTTGTGATGTTAGAAACAGAATGATGACTCTGGTCCCCAAACCTGAAGGCTGGTGCTTTGATTTTAATTCCTACCTATTGAACCTCTAAAATAAATGCTTTATCTTATGGAACTTAAAAACTTGAGCAAATGAAACCCAAAGCAAGCAGAAGGGGGGAAATAGTAAAGGCTGCAGTGGAAATAAATGAAATAAAGAAGAGAAAAACAATAGAAGACATCAATGAGACCAAAAATTGTTTCTTTGAAAAGGTTTAAAACATTGATCAATCTTTAAGAAAGACAGTTAAGAAATCAGGAATGAAAAAGGAGACATTGCTACCAACTTTAAAGAAATTACAAGGATAAATTACAAGGGGAAAAATATTAGATAAATCAGATGAAAGAACAAATTTCTAGAAAGATGCAAATTACTGAAACTGACTCAAGAAGAGAAAAAAATCTGAATAGGCCTATAACAAATAAGTCAAATTAATCATTTTAAAACTTCCAACAAAGAAAACACCAGGCCCACAATGCTTCACTGGTGAATTCTACTAAACATTCAAAGAGGAATCAATACCAGTTTCACAAACTCATCTAAAAAACATAATACAATAGAACATTGCCCAACTCATTCTGTGAGGCTGTTTATTTGATACTAAAACCAAAGACATCACAAGAAAAAATAACAAACTGGACCAATATTCATTATGGCTATATATGCAAAAATCATCAATAAAATACTAGCAAACTAAACACAGCAATTTAAAAAAAAAAAAAGGATTTTAAGGATTATATAGAATGACCAAGTGAGATTTATCTCAGGACTGCAAGGATAGTTCTACATCAGAAAATCCATTAATGTAATACACTAAGGTCATAGACTAAAGGACAAAAACTATATGAACATCTCAATAGATACAAAAAAACATTTGACAAAACCTAACACCCTTTCTTGATAAAAACAATCACCAAACTAGGAATACAAAGGGATTTCCTAAACCTGACAGGGACCTCTGTAAAACTACCTATAGCAGCATTAGTCATAACACTCATTTTGTTTGTTCATTTATCTTTTGTTGTGGAAACAGCCCAACTGTCCAACAGTTGAATGAATAAGCAANCAGTCTTAGAACCCCTGAAAGGAGAAGAGTGATGTCTAAGCCATGCTCCTTGTCAGGATCCACTGTTTCTAGAAAAAGCTGAAGATGAATCAAAGGTGAGGACCCATCAAAGGTGGATCAGAAAGGGACAGACTCAGTAGAGGCTGAGCCCCCAGGCTGTGGCTCCCAGAGCCCCGGGAGAGGTGAGAGTGTAGAGTTCCCGATCTGCGCTGCCGCCAGTGCCTCCGACGTGCTGTGGGCATCTCGTGTGCACAGGCTGTGTGCGAGTGCATGAAAATGCTGTTGAAATTAGCAAAGAAGATTCCAGGTGGGCTGGAATCAGGGGGGCCCTTGGGTCTTTGTGAAGGTTTTCACTCTTCTTGAGAGTAGCTAGCCCAGTTCCCAAGGGAAGATGACATGAAATAAATGTCCAGTAAAAAACACCAGGACAGGTCCCTAGATAAATGCAGGAAAAAGAAACCAGCTTTTCTCCTGCTTTTTAAACATAGAGTCCCGCATTGTCAAGTAGCACTGAGCCCCACAAATTAAAAGCTAGCTTGTCACATTTGCTACTCAAAATGTGGTCCCATGTCCAGCAGTACTGGTATCACCTGAGAGCATATTAGAAATGCAGAATCCCAGACCCTACCCACACATACTAAGTCAGAATCTGCATTTTAACAGGATCCCGAGCTGATTCGATCACACTTGAGTTTGAGAAGCAGTGGTCTGCATTGCACTCCAGGACTCAGTGACCACCGATTAGAGGAAGCCTGTGACTTGGCCCAGTTGTTCTTTGTTGCGGTTGTTGAACATGTTGTCCTTTTCTTAGATGTAAAGCAGCTGCTATTCATGTTGGAAAGTGGAAGGAGAAAGGCTGGTGAATATGAAACACTGAGAGAAGAGTTGCTCTGAGCACCAAGCTTCGCCAAGACTGTTGCTTGAAATTCTCTTTTCCCCAACCTCTACCCTTGGGCTCAAGGCTTAGCATCTTTTCCAGTGATGCTGAGGGTCTCATTGAAGGGAGCAGTAGCCAGATTGAAATAAGCTGCGGCTCTGGGGAAATTGCTCTAACTTTCCTTGCATAAGCCCTAAGAATTGCCAGCTTGCTCGGGGTGAGACAGGAAACATAGCCTTCCTTTCCACCTTGGCAAAACTGGGTTTTGAGCTTGCATGTTACTTGGCATGGTGTGCTTGTTGTTTTCATAACTTCTTAGGTTCTAGAAAAGATGGTTATAAAAAGCAACCAACATGAATATGAAGTGAACCGCTCTGCCTCCCCCATCACCCCCTCACAAGAGCCTTTTCTGGGAAGAAGCAGCCGTTGGGAGAGGACGCTGCTATGAAGCCATCTCTGGTAACAGAGACTGAGACAGGTTTCTCTCGGAGTTGGAGGGTGGCCTCCTGAGTGCGAGCAAAGGGAGCCGTCAGGCCCGAGTACCTACCTATGAAGTACAAGGCAGGACATGCAGTTCACTTAGCTAATTGAAATGTGCCCTTTACAAAGTTCTCACCAGTGACTCCGCATCTAGGGATGGAGCCTGAGGGAAGACCAGAGATTCTGACCAAGTGAAGCAAGATTATATTCATCTTGATGGTGTCTGTAAAAACACAAAGTTCAAAGTGGGGCTGTGTGCCCCCAGAGGAGTATACAAAGAAGGCAGGGGTAAAAAATAATAGAATTTGCATTTGGTCTTTTTAATTTAAAAATAGAGGGGAAAAGCTGTACTAATTTTGCTCCCACAAAATGGGAGTTGACCCTTGACCCTTCCTTGTTTGGTCCAAAAAGCAGACAGTCATGTGTGCTATGAGGGGAAAGCAGGAGTTTCACAGCATGAGTACCTGCTGTAACAAAGTCACCACATGGCTATAGCTCCTAAATGAATCTTAGGACTCAGAGTTTTCTCCTGATGGGATGGGCACCTTGTGGGGGCTCTGAGGGATGAAGACACAGCGAGGACTCTGACCCCCCCTCACTCAGGCCACATGAAGATCTGACTTTTGATGACCCAACCCCTCACTTGGGGCAGCCTTAGCTTCTTAATGGAACCAATGTTGTTTCAGTGGGTGGAGTATTTCTTCCCACTAGTTCTCACCTGTTCTGCAAGAGTCTCCAAGATATCTTGGTAAAAAAAACTGTGGCTCTCAACGGATTTCCTAACTCTGCAGCTTTCATTAACAGCTCTTTACCTCTTGAACCCAACTTTGGCCTTCTGCTCCATCCTGCTGAAGTTCAAAGCTGCAGATTACTCCCTGGTCAGCATCTTACCTTCCACTGCAAAAAATCTAGTGCTCAGATGTGAGGTTAAAGTAAAGGGAAAACTAAGCTTAATAGAAAAAACTCCTCAGTCATCAAAGCAAATTTCATAGCTACTGAAAAATAGTGGCCAAAGGCTATTCATGCATTTCCCCCTGTATAAAAAGGCCATCTTTAAAATAATAGTATTTGTTTAAATAATCCTTCCTGAAAGAGGTTTTGTCCCAGAATTCCTTGTACACATTAAAAATGTAAATAATCTTGTCATTTGGAATAAATTCTTTAATAGGCATGCCATAATTGAATTTATCTCTAATTAATGTGGCATTACCTTGTGGCAGAGGTGAAATAGCTTGTTTTCTGATTGTCCGTGACTGTTGCCTTGAAGTTGCTGAAGTGCTGATGGAGTCAGTAAGGACTGTGCATTGATTTCCAGACGCAAGGACTGCCACCAGCTCAGCTCCAGACACACCCTCAGAACCAGCAATTTTCAACAGCGCGATGGCCAGGACCAGGATGAAACACATGCGGGAGTAAGTAGCCAATGGCCTGACCCCTCAGAGAGTGCAATGTGTGAGACCATATTGGTCATGTGATACTGTCCTGTTTGGTCGCCACAGGGATCACATCCGTACTTTTCTATTATAGAAGCAGCATTGAATGGACTGTACATAGCTCAGCTGAAGAGGCCTGAATCTGCATGGAAGTCACTAGCTGTGGTCTGAACATCTTTCCCCCCAAATTCATATGTTGAAATACTAAGCCCAAAAGGAGATGGTATTAGTAGGTGGGGGTTTGGAGAGGTACTTAAATCATGAGGGTGGGGCCCTCAGGTATGGTATTAGTGACATACTATAAAAGAGGCTCCAGATTGATCCCAACCCCTTCTGCCATGTGACGTGGCCCTAGCTGTGACCCAGAAGAGGGCCTCCACCAAAAGGGGGCCACATTGGTACCTTGTTGTAGGACTTCCCAGCCTCCACAACTGTGAGGAAAAGAAGTCTGTTGTTTACAAGCCACTGAGCATGTGCAGACTAAACAAACTATGACAGCACCTGTTATAAACTTCTTGGCAGGGAAGGGACCCGGCGTCCTGATCTAACTTCTCTGCAAGGCGTATCTCCAGATCAAGGGTGGGAAACTCTCTTTGTAAGGGCTACATGGTGGAAATTCTAGGTTTCATGGGCCAGTTATCTGTTACCATTACAGTTCTGCTCTTGTAACACGAAAGCAGCTATGGACAATGTGAGTTAATGAGTATGGCTGTGCTTTAGTAAAATATTGTTTTCAAACTGCAGTCTGAATTTGATATAATTTTTAGGTGTCACAAGGTATTATTCTTCCTTTGATTTTTTTCAAGTTTTAAATGTTCGAACAATTCTTAACTCACAAGATATACAGAAGCAAACAGCAGGTTAGCTTTGGCCTGTGGGCTGTATGGTTTGTGTACCACTCCTATAGATGTTACAACTCAGAAACTTCTCTCTAAAATCTGCTTCCTATATGGGTGCTGGTTGAATAGTTAGGAAGTTTGATAAAAATTATTTTCAGTTGATTTGCATTTATGTTGTTCTTACAGTACAACACATTATCCTCCAGGCTGATATTTGGAAACAAAAGAGAGGAAAAGTACTGAAAATTGTTTCCAAAGCTCGAGCTGATGATGTTTAGATGCCTATTGTTTTCAAGTCTCGCCTGTACCTGAGTGGTCACCTAGTAATTACCAAGGCACCAAAGATTTCCAGGATCTGGAAGTGAGGGAGTTTGGATGAAACTTTCCCATCTGCCCTTCCTTCCACTTGTTCTTTCTGGGAGGAGATTATGGAGAAGGCTTGCTAATCTCCCAGTCAATAATCTTCAAAGGCAAGAAGAGCAACTCACTTATTTCACCCTTAAAATTTAATAATGTGGTGGTGTCAGAGTTTTGATCTAAGACTTCATCACTTTTGTGGAGGACACAATATCTCATTTCCTAGCACATTATGAAACGCTTTAAATAATTAAAATAAAAGCAGTTTTGCCAAAAAAAAGTGACCAAGCTGCATTCCAGTGATTTTACTCCTGGTGTGTTGTTCACTTCTTTATGCTCGATTGAATTTGACCAAGTCCTTCCTGGCCCACCGATACAGTTTGAGCTACTCCCGCATGGATAGTGCTGTTCCTCTGGCAGAATAATGTGTTATCCCCTTATATTCCACATCACAAAGCCCCACACCATTCCAGAAAAGGCCAAGAGGAAATTGAGGCTGCAGAGCTAAGGATCTTCTGAGGATGTTTGTTTCCACAGCCAGAAAAAAATGAGAATTGTGGGTTCTTTCCCTACGTGGTAATGTATTGGCTGCATCCCCAACATATGGACAGCAACAGTTGGAATGCAAAGAACAATAAATGACATTTGCCCCCAGGGAGATTATAAAGCGGGGAAAGCACCGGACTTCAAACTGAAAAGCTAAATAACAGCACAGTGGTTATGTAATCAGAGGTGATGGTTAAGAAAAGTCCCCAACTGAGACCATAGCCATATGCCAAACAGAGCAGATGGTGAGAGTGTCAAGATGAGAAAGGGAATTTGAGGCTGTCTCTGGGGGAAGTAGGAACTTGGCCTCAGCCTTAACAGAGACAGAACTTGAAGGGTAAAGAGAAGGAGGGAGCTGGAGGCCAGCAGATTTGGAGTCTGAGTTTTCGTGTCACCAGTAGATGGCTTTCTGAGCTCAGGCAAGTGGTTTTTTCCCAAGGTTCGGTTTTCTCATCTGCAAAATGGTCATCATATTATTGCCATAGCTGATTCCCTGGTAAGTGGACTCGGGTGGGGATTTCTGTGCAGGAGGTAAGTGTAGGGTGTCCTGGAGGCCAACACCTGTAGGAAGGAGGGCAGAGGAAGCAGACAGTCTTGGTGGAGATCTCCACTGCTTTGGCAGAGAGCTCTGAAGCTGGACCTGCCCTCCTGGGCTCCGCTGGGCAGAGGTGAGAGGGCTAGGCCCATGCAACCCAGGTTACCCAAGCCCCGGATGTGGGCCACCCTGGAAAGGGACTAAGACAGGGTGTCACTCAGCCAAGGCCGTCCCAAGAGGGGCTGACGGCTGAGGGCAGAACCTCGGGGACACCCCCAGCAGCTAGGGAGTGCGTGCAGGGCCTGCTGGAATGAGTCTGTAACGTAATGCATGTAAAACTGATACATAAAAGAGGTTCTTAAAGAAAAATCAAGTATCTGGTACCAATCTCTAAAGGGTCACAAAGACAGCTTTTTATTTCAAAGACTATAAAGAAGGGAACACAAAGAATGTATTATAGGGATACTAATTACATCAGGTGATTGTATTCATTTTTTTTTAAACTGTCAAGCCTAAGAAAAGTTGTAAGAATAGCATAATAAACCCCTATATCTGCTTCATCTAGAGTCACTAATTATCATTTTGCCACAATTACATAAATTTCTTTATATCTATCTATACATGTAAAGTATTATTCTTAGTATTACAGGGTAATTTGAGAATAAGTTTCATTCACCACGATTCTTCACTTTTAAATATTTAAAAGTACAGCTCCTAAGAACAAGGACAGTCTTTTATATAATCACAGTAAATGTCTAAATTTAAGAAATTTCACAGTGATATACTATTTGATACAGCAATCCAGATCCAAATTTTACCTATTGCCCCAATAATGGCTTATACAGTAGTTGTTTTTTTTTTTTTTTTTTTCCTGATCCAGGATACAAACCAGAATCACAGATTGTTACGCCTTTTTGGTGTTATTTACTGTGGAACAAATCTTCAGTTACTTGTCGTATTTCATGATACTGACATTTTTGAAGAGTACAGCCAGTCGTTGTGTAGGATCGCCTTCAGTTTGTATTTGTCTGATATTTCCTTACAGTTAGATCCAAGTTACTAATTTTTTTATGGTATCCTATATAAGTGATTCTATGTCCTTCTGAAATTTTTAAAACTTAATTTTTGGAAGTCGTAGACATATATGAAAGTCATCAGAGTAGTATAATTAATCCCAACAGACTCATCAACCAATTCAACAATCAATAGCTCAAGGCAAACCTTGCTTTGTCTCTGCTACCATCTATTCTTCCATGTTGTTTTTAAGAACGTACCATCCAGGGCTTCCCTTGTGGCTCAGCTGTTAAAGAATGTACCATCCATCAAGGGCTTCCCAGGTGGCATACTAGTGGTAAAGAACCCACCTGCCAATGCAGAAGACGTGAGAGACACGGTTGGCTCCTTTTGATCCCTTGGTTAGGAAGATCCCCTGGAGGAGGACATGGAAACCCACTCCAGTATTCTTGCCTGGAGAATCCCATGGACAGAGGAGCCTGGTGGGCTACAGTCCATAGCATTGCAGAGTCGGACACGACTGAAACAACTTAGCACATACGCACGTACGCACTATTCATCAGATATTTTCATCTTTAGTCTTTCAGTAACATATGACTTTCAGTAACATCTGAACTGAACTAAACATGTGGCTTTTAACTTACTCTCTGACATCTTCTCTTGGAAGCATTTCAGACTCAGGATGTTCAAACTGAACCCCTGATTTCCTTAACCAAGTTTGCTTCCTCCACAGCTTTCCCCATCTTCATGTGAGAAAGGTAGGACCTAGGTAAAAATGAACCTTTCTGTGGATGTGACTTCGGGTACCAGGCCTCATCCTGTCCAACTGTGAGGCAGGGAAGCTCTGTAGGGAAGTGAGGAGGAACAAATGATGATTGCTCATCATGCAGTGTTTCTTCAGTTCCCCCAGCTGGGTCCCCCGGGGCTCAGTAAGCATTAATACTTGCAGTGTCAGGCAAAGGGTAACCCTAGCATAGCAGTCGGGAGGGAAGGCCTGGGTCTGGGGACAGCAACTGCTGGGATTTATGTCCCTGTTTCTCATTACTAGCTTGTGTCCTTGGACAAGTTACCCAACCTCCTTGTGCCTGAGAAGTCTTGTCTGTAAAATGTTATGGTTCCCACCTTGTGGGGTTGCTCTGAGGGTTAGTTGGGGTTACCTATATATGAAATGCACTTAGGGTGCTTTATGGAACATAGTAAGTGCTCAATAAAAGTTAATGACTTAAAATAGACTCTGGATATATGTGTGGTTGCTTCCTTCTGAAAATCCCTAAGCAGATATCTGAAGGTGTTGTCATGTGTTAGCCTGCTATGTGATGTTTTATACCTATGGGCATCTGTGGGCAGAGAAGCTGTCAGTGAAGGCATTTATATAGCTTTTTTTTTTTTTGCATGCACAAAGAAGTGTCAGTTCACTGGGGAAATGTCAGGAAGTTGTTGACTATAAAAGCCAGTCATTTACCATCCTCCAACATTTAGCTTCCAGTAGAGGCTACTTCTTAACTCCTGCTGGGAGACCATCCACAAATGGAATGCCCTGCTGGGTCCTGGGAAGCACTCACTTTGAGCAATTGTTAGGTGATACCACTCAAAGTCATTGCAGTATCTGCAGAATCACAGGGAATAAGTGTGGACTTCCTTTCTGGCTGAGTAATCTCCATTAATGTTTGAAGAGATGTTGCTATTCA